TGGGTCGCGACCCCTTTGGGCGTCGAACAACCCTTTCATAGAGGTCGCCTAAGACCATCGGAAAACACATATATAATTACATATTGTTTTTGTGATTAATCACTATGCTTTAATTATGTTCAATTTGAAACAATGAAATTGGGGGTCACCACAACATGAGGAACTGTATTAAAGGGTCGCGGCATTAGGATGGTTGAGAACCTCTGCCTTAGGGAGATTCATTTCTTTTACTTTTTCTGTTCTTAAGGATAAGGAAGTAGTTACAATTAGTAGCTATGCTTTTTCTTGGGAAGAACATTTCTGATATGATAGAACAGCTGTATTTGCTGTTGAGAACAGAGCAATGAACTTATTAGATTGAGGAATTTCTCATAGGTTGATAAGGTCTTTGAACTTGCTGAAATTTCAGAGGTCATCTAGTCTAGCCCCCAGCCGGCGTAGGAATGATTTTCATAATAGTGTTTTTCACACTGTAGGTTATGTCAGACTAGAGCACCATGAAATTTTGTGGGTGGTGACCATAATTTTTAAAAGTGTAATGGAATAGAAAGTGTTATAGAACATGTTAAGATGTGAGGGTGCATACTTCTTTAATGTTTTGATTGATGTGCAGCCACATGCTTTCAATGGGTGGTTATTGAAAGAAAACAGGTTCCAAATCCATTCCCTCCACCTCTGCTTAAGAACCTCCCAGCTGGGAACTCCCCACTTTGAGAGGCAGCGGTGCCTTCATGCTTGTTCTTGTGGTAAATGTTTCTCTTGCATCAAATGTCTCTAGATATTCACAGCATGAACATGACATTTACAGTGTGCTCATTGTCTCCTGTCATTGTGTCCGGGCCCTGCCAAGGCTAGAAGTCCCTTCCTTACTTGAGACTGTAACTAGGCGCATTCACTGCCCTAACCACTCTTACTAGATGTTCCACAATGAGTATTTGGTACAAGGCAACAACAAAAAAGTAGCAAAGGAAAAATGTCTTAAATTAAGTGGCTGGAAAATCACCCTTACAGGTGATCTTACTGTGCAGATCTACCCTGAGGTGGAGGATTTTTTTGAGCCTAGAAGCAATCTTCCAGAAGCCTTCCTGACCCCTTGAGACTGGGTAAGGGTCCCTTCTACATCATCCTGTTCTTATCTCTGTCACAGTGCTATGACACTGGAGAGGTGGCTAGCTTCTGCCACTAATAAATCCATATGCCATGTTTTGTTTGCCTATTTTTTAACGGTCTCTACAGCAAAACAGTAAGATTCTCAAGGGCAAAAAGCATGTCTTATTCATTATTATACTTTTAGTGCTTGGTGCATTGTAGGCACTCAGGAATTATGTGCTAATGTTTTGGACTGTATGGAATAGCTTTTACTGTTTTAAGTGACTTGGATGGAAATTGAAGTCTGTTCATAAAAGACAAGGGATGGGTGCTAGAAAGCAGTCATGACTTTGCAAATCAAGAGTGACATCCAAAGGATACCAAAGGAATCAGGAGACGGTCCAAACTACATGATTAAAGTTAATAACTAATGTATAAGATTTCCATAAGGCAAGTAATCCTTGAGAGACAAACTAGAGCTATTGTAACATAATAAACCCACAATCTTATATTTGTGTGCTGATATCCACTTTTACATATTCTTATTTGGCCCCCAAAACGATCTGGTGAGACAGGAAAATAGTGGCATCACCATTTTGCAGACCAGAAAACTGAGGTCTGGTGTGGTTAATGACTTGCTTGCTAAGGGATCATAGCTGGTGCTGGCATCAAAAGGATCACACCTAAAACAGTACTGTTTGAGCTGTACATATTCCTACCAAGTTGTGAAATCTGCTGTTATAATAACTGATATTTATCCTTTTTAGTGTGTCTTTCCAGGAACCCTTTGAGGTGGTGGATGGGTGATCAAATTAAATGCTGTTGATGTAGAGTGCTGGTATTTCATGATTGGAAAATACTTTAGAAGGGGCCATCTTTTAGTCCAGCAACTCATTGGATACCTGGCTTTTCCTTAGCCACCCAATGTCCCCTCCTGGTGGCCGCTATAATTGACATGTTAGTGAGGTGGCTCATTTCATCTTAAGTAGATAAGGATGCTGAAGAAAGTAAGCTGAATATGACAGAGATTAGAGGAGTGGATCTCAACCTTCCTAATGCCATGACCCTTTAATACAGTTCCTCATGTTGTGGTGACCCCCCAACCATAAAATTATTTTCATTGCTACTTCATAACTGTAATTTTGCTACTGTTATGAATCTTAATGTAAATATCTAATATGCAGGATGTATTTTCATTGTTACAAATTGAACATAATTAAAGCATAGTGATTAATCACAAAAACAATATGTAATTATATTTGTGTTTTTCGATGGTCTTAGGCGACCCCTATGAAAAGGTCGTTCAACCCCCAAAGGGGTTTCGACCCACAGGTTGAGAACCGCTGGATTAGAGGAACAGTGTGACTGTTCAGCAGTCTGTGTCTGCTGTTTAGGGTAGGCATGAAGATGAGATAGAAGCCCAGGCTCTGAGTTGGGATTGAGAAAGTGAAGAATGTGAGGCAAAGGGTTGGATGGTGACTGGGAACACTTACTTGGGTTATGGGGCCTATGGGTCATCCCCTCCTCTCTTTTCCTCTCCCGGGGGCTCCAAGTCCTGCATGCTGAAGCTGGCACACTTTGTACTCCTGCTCCCCATAAGCTCTGGCCGCTGTGAGATGAAAAAGTTAGGACTTTCCAGTAATCAATATGCTTTTGTTATCAGACCTATTGGTCAAGTTATGGCTCTTAGGGGTTTGAATCTTTAAAAGATGTTTATGGCTTGACCTGGGTTGTCTTGCCATTTAAGGGTTTGCTAAATATAATTGTCATACAGACATAGCCATAATGGCCCAACTTACCTAACCCCAGAAGGAAAATAAGTCACATACATGTTTGTGAGGCTCACTTCTTACCACTCCAACAATGGACTTAACAACCAACTCTGTGGTGGATACTGGCCTGTCCCTCAATCTATGTGATGGTTAGTTAAAGTGCAGTGCAGTTTGCTTTTAAAGAGCCTGACATAGCAAGAGAGAAACGGTGAGTGTCACAAGACCTACTAGTAAACTCTAACTTTAACTGTGGTGCTGATTTGATCGTGACATTGAGCCAATGAGTCTGGGGACCTTGGTCTAGGCTACCGGGATTCTGTTATGTTAGTTCTTTACTATTGAAATAATTGTACCCCAAATCTAGTTTAAATGTCAGTTCACCCTCTTGTACACATGCACATGCCGTTTATCTAGTGAACTCCTAATCATTCTTCAAAACCTACCTCAAATGTCCCTATGTCTCATTTGGGAATTCACTCAACAATTATTTATTGAGAGCATATTATGTGCCAGATTCTGAGGATGTAGCATCAAACAAACCAAGACCCTACCTTCCTAACCTTGCCTCTATGTCCCCATAGTCCTGTCTGTAATGGAATCTCTTTCCTTTGCAGCCTGTAGTCCAGTGACTTATTTGATTGAATGAAAGGACAAGTGCTTGCCTCTCCGGTTCTTCCATTTCTGTCTAAGTGAATGACCCAAGTAGTACAACTCCCTAAAATACATGCAGCAGTAGTGTCAGGGATGGCAGAATTGCTATGGAGATTTTTCTACTAGTGCAGCAACTGCCAGAGCTTGTCAACCTCACATAACATATAGGAACCTCATAGGAAAGTATAGCTTTCCAAAGTCTCATACGCTCCATGCTGATAACCGAGCCTTTGCTGCTGCTGGAATCCAGCATGTGGTGAGGAGGAAGGACATGCGCAGTCAGAAGAATCACATGGCTCACTAAGAATCCCCACCGACAGGAAGCACACGCATCTCCTTTCACCTGCACAGGGGCAGCAGGCATTTCCTGGCCATTGTTCGAGGGGCTGCTGTGGTGCTATTTCCGTCCACCAGTGAAGCGGGGCTGGAGCTGGCCAGCTCTTACAGGCCTGGCCTTGGTATGCTTCTTGCCCAGGCCAGCATCACAACATCTGGGGAGCCAGATTCAGATTCATGTGATCAAACTACCTTCCACCCTATTAACAACAAGAAGACTTAGGAAAGAAGATTCTTTTGTGTAAAAAGAAACATGGCAGCCCCATCTGCTTTCAAAAAACACATGCTTTCAAGCAGGTTCCTGCCTATATATATATATTTTTGTACTGTGGCCTGAGGACAGTTTATTCTGGGAAGTAGCTGCCGTGAATTCGTGTACCATGGCAGAACTCAGATGTGGACACCACTGGCCCAGAGATGTAGAATGTTTCCCCACGATTTATTGGGGAGAAATTTGATTCTTAAAGGTTTAATGTGGGGAGAAGTTTGGGATGGTACAGTGGGTTGGGTGTGTATGCTTGATAAGGGTGTCATGTGTTTTCTTATTATGGGCCTCAAAACTTAAGACCTGTTTTCAGCAGCTGGTTGACCTCCCCAGGGCAGCTGCACTTGCTCAGTGTATCATGCTCAAGTATGTCATGGCTCCATGTTGATTAAAGGTCCCATTCTGCCCTTTTAGAGTGAAAGGTATGTCTAAAGAATGAAAGCAGGGAAGTATAATAAGATTGAGCTGGACACTAGTAGTTTCTGTTTTTAGAAATACCAAGTAGTAATTGCAGCTTCTGAGTCTGTATTTATTTTGTCCTCTCTCGTTATGCCTGTTGTTTTCAGATGACTGGGTCAAGGGATGGTGGACACTGTTAATCATTTCATTGCTCAAACACCATTCTGGACTCCTCTATAAGAGGCAGTCATCCGACGGGTCCCCAGAATAAGCGCCACACCCTACAGAGCCCCTGCTCATCCACGTTCTCCGCTTGAATAAGACAGAGAATCATTTCAGGCAACAATCCCCATCCCTACACCTTCTGTGCAGGAACTGTGCTGCGTTCATAACCAGGGTCTAGTTCAGGGTGAAGGAGGAGGTGGTATCAGATGCGGCTGCAGGGAGAATTAGTGAGTCCTCACGAACACTTTCTATTGTCCCCTCAGTGTGGGTTCTGCCATGATGACCGTTCCTGTCGCTGAACTTGGATGAGGCCAGTACATTATGTACAGTGTAGAAGACCTCCTGATTTCTCATGGATACAAGCTGTCAAGAGATCTTCCGGCACCACATGAGGGTCGCCAGCCAGCAAGGGCGAGAGAGAGAGTGGGTCATGGCTTGCTGAACGGATGTGAGGATGCCCCTACTGCCTTCCCACACAGTAAGGCGTCCCTGGGGACAAGACATGTGAGTAATTCTGGAAATGAGCACCATGCACTGAGAGCCCGAGGAGAGCCCCAGAGCGCCTCTGCTTCCAGGATGTCTGAGGAGGGGTAAGTGTGCACCCACCATGTTCTTCCGACTTGGGGTTTGTCAGTAGGTATGTAATAAAATCCTCCACTCCTTAAAATTGGCTGGGGTCAAGGGGCATGGGCTGAGGGACAAGAACACTGCTGTCCGTTGAGGTACTGGGATGTTCCAGTAGCACTGAGCACACGGCTGGGCCATAGTAAGCCTTCAGTAGGCAGTGGTGAGGAAACAGATTCTGTCCTACTAAATACTGCATTTCAGTACTCGGCTTCTCTGTTCTCTTGTAATTTCCTGATATTGCCTCAGCTAGGAATCACTTAAAAACTCTGTAAAAGCTAGTTTATGTCAGGCACACATTCCTAGTACTTTAGGCTTTCTTACTAATATGTTTCGGTATTTGGTATACAGAGTTGAAAGAGGTTTGTGTTCCCCTCCGTTTGTGAAGAAGAACACCTTTCTCTTTATGTATCCATATAATTCCACTGGCTCCCGACCCATGTTTCCCTTGCACACATACTGGCCCCAGTGTGGGTCCCATCTGAATATAGCTGCATCTATGGGTGTTTGCTTACACCAGCAGAAAGGCCGGGTTGGCTGGGGGAATAGGAGGGTTAAAAAAGAGGGAATTTCGGCAGCTTGCCACAGAGCCAGCATGGGAGAGGAGCCCTGCAATCTCATCCAAGCCATTTGGACCTAGAGGAAACCTTTGTCATCACTTCATAAAACTGTTTGTCTTTAACGCTGTGTTGAGACCCGGCTCAGACCAGGGAAGGAGGACTCTGCCTGTATTGAGCATCTTATGAAATTGTATGCAACTGGCAAGAAATGGACCTGTCTTTAAGGGAAACAAACAAGTACCCAGAAAGGGGAGTGAAGTAGCCTTTAATGGTTAGAAGCCACCTTTTTACAGAAAGGATCTTTTTTGTTTGTTGATAGCTTTCAGGCAAAAAGTGGGAGGAATTTTGTTCTTATAATTCAGAGCATCTGACACCTTGGTCATTAAGTAAAAGTGAAGGTGATCACCACTCTTCATGCCCAGGGTAGTAAAAGTAGGTTTGTGTGGACAAGTCAGGCCATTTCTCTGGTTGAAGGGAAGAGTTATCATTGATGGAACCAGGTCAGGGGGGACCCAGAATGGAAAAGAACTTGAAACTACTTTCATATAACCTTGCCCTTCACAAATCACACTTGTGTCCATTGCTCTCTTGAGCTTAAGTCTCTTTAATCCATGTTCCCTGAACTTTGGAAGAGGGTGCTTGTGGATGAGTTGGCTGAGAATTAGGCCAGCTTAGTTACTATGGCACAGATTTGCATATATGTATGTTCTACCTTGTATTTCAGGGTCCAAAGAGCTTGTTACAGTGTTGGGCATACAAGGCATTTATTGTATGCTCATGGATTCAGTTCATTCTTCCCACCATTGTAACAACCGTTGAGAAGCAGACAGCTCAGTTTCTAATGAGGTACTGACAGTGGCTGTGGAATCCGTGGAATGCATGGCTGTGAAATGCATGCGCCATGTAGGCTGTGTGCGGTCTCTCCCAGTCTTGAAGGTCTAGATCAGAGATGAGAGTTGGGTCCCTGAGTGGGAGGTGATAGAATCCCCTTTAGACTTCTGTGTGGGCAGTGTGGCTCCCAAACTTGTCCACAGATTGCTCAGGACTTTCTAGCCCCTATGTGATAGCAGGCTCCTGGGGATCTCTAGGTGTCTGGGCATCATCTGATCTGCCAGAAGTCTTTCCTTCTGACATGAGTGAAGTGCTCAGATGAGTGGCTCATGTTACTCTGGGATGTCTTCATACAGATGACAGAGATCTTGACAGTTCTAGCCTCTTCCCCCTATTCTTGAGGTTGACTGATTAACTTCGGAGGTGTATACTAGCTTTGGGATTGAAGGTTGCCTGATAGGGTTAAAAGAGAAAATGCATAGGGAGAGATTAACTGAGGAACTTATATGCATATATATGCATAGTCCATGGACACAGACAATAGTGTGGTGAAGGCCTGGGAGGAGGGGGTGCAGGGTGGAAGGGGTCAATGGGAAAAAAAGCAAAGGAGACGTCTGTAATACTTTCAACAATAAAGATAAATTTTAAAAAAGAGAGAGAGAGAGAAAATGCATAATACATGCTTACAGATATCTGTGCCAGTGCCTAAAGCCTCAGAGACCAGCTGAGTTGGGTTGTAATGAAATGATGTCTTTTGTTTGTTGGCTTGTTTTTAAGTAGTCAATAGAGAACTGAAAACAGGAGATGAACAGGAAGGTGGGCAGAAGGTTTTCTCATCAGAAAAAAATGTTCTTTGGGAGAAAATAAATAGGTACTAATAGTTAACAGCTTAAAAATTAAAAACAAGGAAAAGGAAAATTAAACCAATAATACTTTGGCTTCCATAAATTCTGTATCTGGGTAAATAAATGATAGCAGGCCAGGTCCCAGCCTTGAGTCACTGGATGAATACAGCAGTGGCCCTGCAGCCTGGCCTGTCCCATAGGACCCTGCTGGGCTGGCCTCTGGGTCTGTGGGGGGAAGGTGAGGTCCAGAATGGCCCTGTGCAACTCCAAGCCATCAAGGTGACTAGGAAGTGTCACAAGGGCTCTCCTTCCTGTAGTTTCTCTAGTGGGTTGAGGTCCACCTTAGAGTGTGTCCCCACACTGCGGCTGTCCTTAGCACTCCACTGACTTCCTGGGGAAGATGGCCATCATAGTCATTTGGAAGACCCAGGGGCTGGACAGAGTCGGTTTGTTTTATTCTGGCAGGATGGTGATGTAGGCATGCTGACAATGTTGTTATTTTATAGCCAAAGAACGTGAAGCCCAGAGAATGTTGGTGACTTGGCACGGGCCACTGGAAGCAGTGGAGGGGAGCTGTCAGGCCGGCTGCGTGCTGCCGCTCTGCAGCAGCACGGGGCCGTGTGAGGCCTGCCCTGTTTGGAAGGGGTACTCAGTCCTCTGCATGCCTTTCACAGTTGCTCAGTGCTGGACTGTCCTTTCATACTTCCTTGTCCTCTGCCCTCCCAACAGCTCAAATGGATGTGAAACTGCTCTCAGAGCCCAGCTATGTCCCTTTCCTGTGTGGAGCTGTGTAAGGGATACGTCCTGTCACCCCTCAATTAGAAACATGTACATCACCCTGCTTCTCTGTGTACGGTGCTCAAGACTACATAAATGAAGTTGGGATTGCCCATAATCTGGGGTGTGGTGAGAATGGTCAGGATTTAGTTCTCCCCCCTGATATTTAACATCATCTTAGAACAGAAGTATGTAAGGGCTGGTTATATCAAGTAAAACTTAAAAAAAAAAAAAAAAAAAAAAGAGGACAGACATGGAGCCTTACCCAGATTTCCAAACATTCGGGATATGTATTTCCTAACTTGCTGAAGAGGCTGTGCTTCGAGCTTCCACAATCATTAGATCAAGTGATACCAATCACCCAACATGGGCCGAGAATGACAGTTCTGTTGTGAGGAGAGGTTAAGGACTGACTGAACTTGCTAAAAAGCTCTTACGCTCAAGCAGTGGAGCCAGGACCAAGAGTCTATTCTTATTTTACACAGTTGTTTATCCAAACTGAAGTCTAGAGAACTATTGTTTTCCAAAGCTACATTCAGTGTGTTGCACTGGCCGTCTCAGGGCTGGTAACTTTACAAGCATGTAAAGCACAAATGATGGACTCTGACCCTGATTGTGCAACTCCCTGCCCAGGCGCCTTCCTGGCCCCATTGCCTGCGTTGCCAACCCCCAGCTCTTTCATAGACCTTGCGGGCCTCCTCCTCTGAGCCACATGTGTCTTTCTTATGTCCTCTTCCATTTCCAGGGTGTCAGCCACACAGGCACCATGTGCTCCCCACTCTCTAAGCCCTGCCCAGAAGCCCCCAGAACCCTCTCCTCCCCATCTTCCCCGGAAACCCACCTTACCAGTTTGACTTTTTCAGCTTCCTCCAGTTGAAGTTACCCTCCCCTGTGTTCTTCCAACACTTTCTCCTAGTCCACAGGATTGTCAGCTTCCTGAGGGCTGACACCATTCTCATTCATCTCTGATTTTGCTAATTCCTGTTAAAGACTTTTGCATTTATTAAACACTCAAACATCTATCAGAAATACATTGGATGAAACCTAGTCCTTTTATGGCAAGGCAGTTGTGTAAGTGCGGAGTGTTTCAGGCCACTGGCTACGTGAGCTGGGAGGTGGAGAAGGTTTCGCCAGGGAGAAGAGCTGTGTGAGGCTAGTTTGGGAAGGTTCCATTGTGAAAGGAGGCATGCCAGCTTCCTGTGCTGGACAGTTGAGGTAGCAGTGCTGCTGGCCTCGTTTGGACCCACTAACTCTTAGGAGATGAGCAGGGAAGTAGGGATGAGGAAATAACAGACTCAGAAAAACTCCCGTAGGCCCACTAGTCCTGGTGGTAAAGTTTCCCTTGTTGGTGACGTGTGCAGGTGCAGGAAGCTGAGCCCACCTGAGTGGACAGGGGGCAGTTGTTGTGAGAATGTAATAGGGACTCTCATGGACCATCCACAGGGAGGAAACAGACTCACAGGCCTCATGCCACATGGGGATGAGGAAGCTGGGAGCCACGGTTGGTCCATTGATGTCTCTCTAGGTTGGAGTTGTCCCCTGGGGGACTGTTTGGGTCTCTGTCCCACAATGTTGCTGTGTCTGCCTCCCTGCATTCTCCCTCCTCTGCTGATCAGCCTCTTCCCTTCACAGACAGTTACTCTTCCCAGGAATTTGGGCTCACAGTCAGTGACTTTGTTCTCCTCTTGCTTCTACATCATGGTTTAACTCCAGAGCCCCTGATGACCACTGCCCATTTCTCTTAGAATTTTGAGAGAAACAATCGGTAGTTTTGGGCAGCCCGGGGATGCTGCGGCCAGCCATTGGGAGCAGGGGAGGGACTGGATAGGGGACGGGAGGTTGGACAGGGGAGCCTGAGCTTTATCCGTTGTGGGTGAAGGGGCTATAGATGAGGGCAGCTTTCAGGCTGGGTGGGGGTGCTAACTATGTACCCTCAACCCTGTCCTCTTCACA